ACAGTGTCACCCATTCTACTGCTCAAACTCTCACCCCGATTACAAAATCCTCACAAATCAATTTGTTTGTCTAGCGTTTGCTAACTTGAAGAAAGAGCTCAGAGAGCTTCTGATTGCAAACAAATGACGCTTGAAGCTTCCCAGCACTCTGGTCCAACAATTGCAGACTAGGAGCTACCCATGGCTTCTACCTATGTAACAATGCCTGCAGTCAGTCAAAGATCCAAGTAGGTCATGCCATGCTGAAAAGTTTCAAAGAGAAAGTAAAAGATTGGGGAGAGCTATTAGAACAAAAGAAACAAACGTTAAAAAACAAAACAAAACAACACCAGCAAAAAACCAAACCAAAACAAAAAACCAACACCAACAAACTAAAAAGCAAGCTTATAAGCAAGCTTACAGTGCAATAATTTCCCCAGAATATTCATGTAACTCTCCAATTTTGATAGCCCGTGACTTCCTAAGATTTCTGTGTTCTTGCATTTAATAACCTTTTTGTGGATTCTGTGACTCCACAACCTGCAGCAATGAGTTCCATAACTGAAGTACACATCATGTCAAGGAGTATTTCCATGTGCAAGTTTCAAACTTCCTGACAAATAATCAAGTAATTTTCATTTTTGTTTGATATTAATTCCTGGCTAATGAGAAATAGGTGCACTATACCTTTGTAGTCCCAGGCACCCTGTTCTGCATTTGTGCAGATTCTGCTGTGACCTTTGTGAGACAAAGTACTCAGAAGGAAAATATCTTTTCTACATACAGATGTTGCATTGGTAATTTCATAAAACTATAATGATGAAACAATTTTGATAACAAACATACAACTATAATAGTGAAATAGAGTGCAGCAGCTACTGTTCTGGTTGACAAAGTGCAACTCAAATTGTAGAGGTGAAGCCCCCAGTGTCCTAAGCCAGAACCTCCCTGTGCTGGCTACTCTGCCAGCACAGAACAAAAATCACTTCCTCACCCAATAATAACGACAGTAAGAGATATGTGAATAAAGACACATGAAAGGAGGGTGAAGAGCAGAAGATAAACTTGGAACCAAAATGTGTCCTCTGCGTGTTTTGTGATTTTCCAAACTGGACTTACTATCTAACTAGCACTTGAAATTAACAGTTGGTTTTAAGAAAACTAAAATTTGGTGACTCCAGGCTAAAACAAACAAGCTTAAAGTTGATGCAATATTAATAATCCAATCAGACATTTGTACCTGGGGGAGGAACAGAGATCAAGGTCTTGCAAACTACAAACAAAGAGATGAGATAGTGCTTGAAAGATTTTTTTTTTTCTTTCTAAATACTGCATTTGTTCAAATTCTTAAACACAAAGAACTGTGTCATCACTTCCCAGAATACTTTTAACTTCCATTTGTGTTTCACACATCCCAGCACAACCTTCCCCTCACCATCTCTCATTTGTGGCTCAGCAGAATGCAGCAGCATTTCTTTCACATGCTGATAATTTTTGACTGATAATTATTCCCCAAGTATGGAGAAAATGTTCTCTCTCTTCTGTTGCCCAAACACCCTGCTTTCATCAATGTAAATGGATCAGTGCCAGCCAGAACTGTAAACTTAGGAGAAACAACATATCTTGCACACATTCCACAGTGTTGTCCCAAGGCAAACCTATCCCTACTAATGCCTTGCAGCCACACATTGCAGGGTGCAGTACTTTAGTATATAAAGTATATAATCCTTTAGGCTGTTTTTCCCCTCCTGAACACCCCAGTCCTGGTTACCTGTCAGGTCCAGTGAAGCACAAGCCTGGAGCCATGAGCTGCTCCCATGCCTCCACGTGGCTCAGCTCGTGTCGCTGTTTGCTCCACAGCACAGCTGCCTGGCAAGTGCAAAGGGCTGGATTAGGACAAACGTTGACAAAAATGTGCTCATCTCATCCCATTCAGCATTATCATTAACAGATGGGGTGATGGAATAGGTTGTGCACTTCTTGAACTGACAAATGAGAGCAGCCTGGAAAGTCTAATAGCATGCTGGCAGATAGGAGCTGGAATTCAGAATTACCTTAATGCACTGAAATTAACAACATGCAGCTTCTGTGATGCAAAGAGCAGTACTTTTGAACTTCAGCCGTGATAACCAAACTTACAAATAAGAAGTTCTTTAGAGAAAATCTTACACTGGAATTTTTAAATAGCAACTTTCTACATGGCATGGAACCCCTCACTTCTATCCAGCATCAGAAATCCATTTATCCATTACATTATGTCCTGGGCACCACTCTTCAAGACAGATGAAGACAATGTGGAAAGGGTTCAAAAGAGGATGGCAAGAACAACAAATGTTTGATGTAGGAAATATGGCCCCTTAAGAAAGATGGAAAGAATTGACCAGTATAACTAAGAGAAGATTGTAGATAGAAAAGTGAGAAATACTATCCTATCAAAAGGAAGGGCAATAAGCAACTTTCAATACACCACAGGATGTGAAAAGGAGTAACCAGTTTAAATTATGTCAGGATAACACCGTCATAAGAAAACAAAAAATAAGGAAATTCTACTATCTTTAATCATTAGAAAACAACGATGAGAGCTCATGATTTCTCATCAATGTAGAGAGAGACTCAATGAGTCCTCAAACTCTCCTTGAGCACCTCCTGCTGCAGCCCCTTCTGCCCCCATTGCTGAATCCACTTTCAGCACATGGTCTAGGGGAGGAGCAAGACAGATGCTTGCATTTACTGTTAGCACCAGCTTTCCATGGAATGGCAATGGCAATGCATTACAACAATCCAGGCAGTGTGTTGTTTTCCTGTTTTGCCTTTTTCTGCTAATATTTTTGTATGAATTGAGTAAAAGTATTTGTAGCCTGCCATATTAGTAAATGCATTACTTCTGACTTAAAAGCAGATAATATTTGAGATGCTTCTATTAAAAGAGAGAGCTAAGCAAAATATCAGAAGCATTAATGTCAAAAAAGCACTTATAGAGGGTGATGCAATGTCACAGGCATTGGAAAGAAACACTTTAATATATTCTAAAAAATACAATTTTGTCCAAAGAAAGCTAAATATACACCAAATGCATAATGTGTACACATGCATTTTATCTCAGCAACTCATAAGAATTCTCAGAAGATATTTTGCTGCAACTAGGCTATAAAAAATTAACTTTATCAGAATCATGTTATCTATTTGTGTCAGGAAATAACTATGTAGTTACACTGCCTGCAGCATTACTTTTTAATTTAGCACTATAACAGCAGAACTGAATGGCACTTAAGACTGACCTCAAATAATAATTTGAGTACAAAATTAACATTATGTGTGAATGCAAAAAACGGTGACCACCTCTGTTAACAGTTGGTTTTCCTATCTTTACTGCATTGAGTGTTAGGGAATGTGAGGTTTTAATAATCAAATACATATGCTAGGAGTGAGTGGCCAGAGTAAGCTGCCTGTGACCAATTTACAGCCCGGAACTTGTTTGTCCAAGCCATTTGGGAAGGATGAACAAACATAAGATGGTTGGTCTTCATCCATTAGTATTTACTTAAGAATTAATATAAAACAACCATAAAAGAAAGAAATTTCTCAAAATCAATTTCTTATGTAAAACACAAGGGGACAACATAAGCCTTGTTCATCTAAAGTATTGCATAAGCATAACAACTCTTTGTAAGGCAGCAACACAATTAAAAAAAAAGTTGAATCACATGCTGTATATAGAGCCAAGTAACTTACAGTTTGTCCTTCTTAATTCTATACACATAACAGTATAAAAGATTAACATAATTTGTTTTATGAACTCAAGCAACTCGGGCAAGAGGTGTTGTCTGGGTTCTGTGAATTACAGTGGTCTGCATTCATAGGAGTCAATGGATCTGCAGGGCTCAGAAACTGCTCAGCAGAGCATCAGCTGGGCTCGAGTTACAAACATCTTAAAAACTGCTTGTGTCAACACAAGTGCTGTGCAAACCCTGCCCTGGCAGAGTCCCACCAGTGAGGCAACAGTGATAAATGTAGCTGGGAATTCCAAGGAGTAGAGCACAGAAACTTGTCAGCCAGAAATAATTAAATGGAGTTCAACGCTTTACCTTGTTGCTTGTAGCATTAACAACACAGCCAGAAACTAGCAGACAACCAGGCAGTGAGGCACCAAGGACCCAAGCTGATACACTAACCCAAGAATTCTGTAGATGACCAATGGGACAACAGAGGGAAAGACGCAAAGAAATCAGAAAGAGAATGTGAGGGGGCTTTTTTCTTATTTTTTCCTGAAGCGTTAATGAAGTACATTCCAGGTTTGAATCTTCTAGTATTTTTATTCACTTTTATTAGATGTTCAGCTCTTTTCTTGAAATAAATTTCAAACAAGATAATTTTGCACATTAACAAAAAAGCAGCCTCTGTACTTTTGCATAAGGCCTTACTGGAATGATTGACCCTGTGTATATTCATCCTTGTCTACAGGGTTAGTTTTTAGAAGTAACAACTTATTTTTGCTGAAATGTCTACAAGAACAAGAAATATGGAGCTGGTTATGAAGACAGCTATTGAAAATGTGATAAACTGCATCCTGTTCCTGCTAGTAATCTAGTGAGAGACATTTTACTGCTCTCCAGACCAGGAAGGGGCTTCTTATTTATCTCAAGAGAAGCTATTTAGTTCTGAACAGCACAGTATTTTAGCAAAGATCATAGGCTTTTCTAAAACAAAAGGAAAATATATGAAAGAAATTTGTGAGGTGATACAATACCCAAGTGCACTTGTGCGACTATTAGCATAATAAGTAATTGAAATGTATATAAAGGTGTACATCTGATCCTGTAATCAAAATTATCTCCTTCACATTGCAAACTGTGTTAATAAAAGGCAAAACATAGCAACCCCAGCAGGTAAATTACCCAGTCCCATGTGTCATTGAGAATCACCTCCCATTTAGTGTTCTATAAAAGCCATTACCTGGCAGTGATCACAGTGGTAAGGCAGCTTCTTATCCATCCTTTCCTTACTGAAATCAGCACGGCCTCATGGACCAGCTCAGGAGATTCATTCAATGGGATGCCAAAGGTATGTAACTAGGTATGTTAGAGTACTTTACCAACAGATTTGTTATTTGTCATCTTGTCCAAAAGTAGCAATAATGTACCTTTTCAAGATACAACAAAGAAGGGAGACCTCAAAAAAGCTTGAAGAAAAAAATCTGTATGCTTACTTAAGAAATGTTAAAAGCCTTTAGCTATTGGCCCTCTGTGTATTTAGAATAAAGCTAATACAGTTTTAACTAGGGAATTGCTAAATAGCATTTTCTACAGAAATCTGGAAGTAGAGTAAGATTTTTTTCTCGGGTGAAACATAATTTTTACTTACTACTATTTACTATACTAGCTATGCACAGGAGGAGAAATGCAGCTTAGCTTAATTTTTGCTAGATTCAAAGTTACACCTCTGTTGATTAAGGAACTACTGTTTTTTGATGGCACTTGGCTTCTATGTAGGGACATGCTATCATTCTTATACTAGCCAAATGCATATAAGAGAAATAAATAGTCACAGCATTGTCCTTGGAGAAAAGTATCTGACTTGCCTGTGATCTCTTGTTGCAGTCTATAGGCTGCAGATGCAGAGATGTAGAATGTACTTCTCCCTCTGTTCTGTTTTGGGGAACAGGAAAAGAACTCATCCCACTGTCCATGTGCTAGTGAGAGAGAAGCCTACAGCAAAACCAGAAATCTTCACCATTCCAGCATGATGTACAAATCCACACATGGCTGAACAGATTTGCAGTGGGCTCCAGCAGTCACTAGAGCTAGGAGAGAAACTTTTGAACAGTTTTGCAGCGGAAAACTGTCTGAGGATAAAACAAGGTCATAGTAAATTACATAATATTGATCAAAGTACTTACCCAGACCTTAAAAGAGCAACATAAAGTAAATTCTTTCCCTTCAGAAACATTTTGAAATCCAGCACCACCTGGGATTTCATTATCATGGTCCAGAGACTGTGGGCCAAAGAAAGGCCCCAGAGTACTGATGTGGTCACGATGTGGCTCTGGCAGATGACTCTTACATCCCTTTGTTCCTTTGCCCAGCTGTAATAGCCTTGAGTAACTCAGTCTTTAAAAGGCTATATTCTCTACCTACCACACATGCAAAGAATTAAAGCTAATTTTTGGATACAAACAGAAGACAAGCATTTAATTGCTGTTAAACACTGATCTAAATAATACATTTTTGGGTATTAAAAACTGTCTCACAAACTTTCTTGATTTACTGTTATTATGGACTTAATGCCAAATAAAAAGTAGTGGATGGCATTCTGTGGAAGAAGCACTTTGCAAAAAGAGAGATCCAATTTTGACAAGGTACAAAAAAGATCTCATGAAGTTTCCTTTATTTGGATATTTTGGGAGAGAAAATTAAGTTTAAATTCATGTCCAAAAGGTTATTAGGCATTAAGCGATGTAACGTTTCTGCAGTTCCAGATATTGACTACATTCATTATTGTTATAGCCCTTTTTAAATTTTAAAAATGGTTTGGTTTATTTTAATATCAGTTTATAGAAAACATGATGTAAATGAAAACTAAACCCATCCCATTTCAAAGTTATGGCATCAGACAAGTGCGAACCTAAGAAAATGAGATGGGGTATTTTTTTGAACCTGCAAAACTTCCAATTCTTATCTTGAAAATTTTAATAGTGAAAGAGTGAAATTCCCTTTCATATAATTCCATATCATTCATTTTAAACCTAATTTGTCAGAGCATGTGTGAAGGACCAGTCCTTTATGGAGTTGTTGCTGTAAAAACGAGATGTTTAACTTTTCACATAAGCTCACAGCAGCCCATGGTTTGAGACCCCTGATGTATGCCAAAATCCTATCTTTCCCCCAAAAGTGAAACTACTCTTAAATTAAAGTGCTTAAACATTTGTGGGCTTGAAATACTGCAAGATATACTTTATACTCAGGGCAACACTGAGCCCATCTCTTCCCACACAACTCTTCCATCCTCAGAATCAAGTTCATTACTTAAAGAGAGAATTTACAATTAAAGGGAAAATTTACATCAGAATTATGTGGATTCCTTTTTTTTTAGTGATGGTTAAACGCTAATTTTTTCAAAATTTTAACTTTGTTCCACATTCAGGAATACTGGAAAAGATACGATTGTGTTTGATAAAGAAACTGCTGCCAGACTGGGAAGACAGAAGGAAGTATCACGAGGAGTTTGCCTCATCCACTTCGTTCCATGGTGTGCACAACATTGTGCACAGGCAGAGCAGGGCCCGCAGGGCGCTGTGGCTGCTGGTGGTGGCGGGCTGCCTCGCCACTGCTGCCTGGCAGATCTGCAGCCGCTTCAGCTACTACCTCAGCTGGCCAACCACCACTGCCGTGGTGGTCCAGTACACGGAAAAAGTCAAATTCCCCGCCGTGACCTTCTGCAACTTGAACAGGTACAAATTATGTTTGTTGTTTGCTCTTGAGACACAACACATCTTCTTCTGAAAGCAGATAGGTTTCACAACCTGTTTGGACAAATCACATAAACCAAGGAAAATATGGCTATGAGGGGCATGTCTTCCACATGTCCCTCACCTCCCTCACCACCACATGATACTTAAAAAAGGATGAAAATACAAGAATCAAGAAAGGGAGGCTGCTTTTATAATCTCCCCCTTCCTTCAGATGACATGATTTTTAAGTTTCACAACAGAAGTTGGAATAGAAAGACTCTGGTAGTAGTGTTCTGTGTATCAGTGTTGCTTTTCAGTGTAACTAAGGGGCAGCCATCAGCCCCATTCAAGTTAAAAATAAAAGACAAGATTAACAAATGATTTTAAACAGGAACTTCATGCAAAGGTAAAAATCTTAGGTAAAACAGATATTCCTTTTTCAGAGGTGCTCAGCCTTTACAACTCCTGTTGATGTCTGGAGTTTTTGCAGGACAAAAACATTTGGGTTGTTTGGAAATCGTGTGTCTAAGCAAGAGCTTCACTACAGATTTCTACATTTGAAGACAGTGTCCAACATTCAGTGCAGCCACTTCAAAAATAATTTAATGAAATTGTGGCCTGATTTTTAGAGCAAAAACATAACTTAGGAACAGTTTTAGAAACACAGAAAGCTTATCCACATTTTTTTCCTCAAAAATTACATTTTCTCATTTTCCACCTTCTGCTGGCAGAATCAGCCAGAAGCCCAAGTCTCAAAGGCCTGGAGTCATTCTGCCTCTCTCTGCCACATCCTCATTACCTGCATAAAGCTACCCTGGGTTGTACCACACGATGGGCACTGCAGACAGAAGTCTCTCTGGCTGCAGTGGGCTGGCTGTTACAGACAAGCCTCAGTTCTTGTAACTATAGCAGCAGCACACCGTAAGGAGCCAGCCACTGAGCACAGCATTTTCCCATCCAAGTAACAGTTTGCTGCCGTATCCATCTGCCAGTCACGCTGTGCTTACTCTCCCCTCCTGCTCTTATTAACTGGGGTTTTTTCATTAGCAGGACAAAGAGGCACAGCACTCCCTTTGTCTTCATTTTTTGACTCAAATTTAGTGGTGAAAAGCTGTTCCTACTAACCTTCCTTAAACTGGGGCATCAAGATCTCTTACACAAATATGTTACGTTAATACATTTTTAAAAATAACTTTATAACTTCTGTAAAGCCTTACTTTACTTCAATAAAGAACTTTAGTGCTGTACGTAAGGTAAGCACCACCAAAGTCTCATCATGTTTTTGAGTCTTTTCTAGTGGATTCAAAGAGTAAAGATCACCTTTGATTAAACCACCACACCACCAGCTCATGGGAAGGTACACTGTCTGGAGTGGGGTGCAGTGCCTTAGTAAAGCAGGCACATGAGACTACTACAAATGTGCTTAGAATTCCATTTCCAAATTAATGAAGACAGCTTTTTTTCTGAAAGGGACAGCTCCTCTCAGCTAGTTTCCCACTCGTAAACTCAATTGTTCAGCTTGCCATCGGTTCTACTAATCTGGTTGTTGATTTATGTGAATAGTTCATTTTTGTATTTGCAGGGTTTCCAGACGAAGAAATGATGGCTCTAACTTCCTAACGGAAGGAACATGGATCTAACTCCACATTCTTAGAAGGCTAATTTATTATTTTATGATACTATATTATATTAAAGAATACTATAGTAAACTATACTAAAGAATACAGAAAGGATACTTACAAAAGGCTAAAAGATAAAAATAAAAGCTCATCACTCCTTCCACAGTCCTGACACAGCTTGGCACTGATTGGCCAATGAATGAAAACACTCACACCAGAAACCAATGAAACAACCACCAAACACATTCCAAAGCAGCAAAACACAGGAGAAGCAAATGAGATAATATTATTTTCCTTTTTCTCTAAGGCTTCTCAGCTTCCCAGGAGAAGAATTCTGGGCAAAGGGATTTTTCCAGAGAATGTGACAGTGACAGTTCATTTACTCAGGGAATTTGGGTTTTAATGTTTAGTAAATAACCACAGACAACAGAAATACTTCCTATATGACTGACCAGAATAGCCATGGGAAGGTGGATATTTGCTGTTTCCAGATATGGAAGATACAATCCTAGAGATAGGGACTATATTGTTTGTTCATGTTGCAGAGATCAAACTGCAACCTGTTGGGTAAGAATCACTTATAGTTTGTGGGCAGATAGCAAATTTGTCACAGTTTTGTCAAAATTAGCCTTCAGATCAGTCCTATAACTACAGAATCCCAAGCAATTCTTTCTCCTTCTCATTGGCAGGTTTCAAGCTCATGCTGTGAGCAACCTGAAAGTAATTTTTTTAATTTGGAACACTGTATCTGCAATTCTCCAAAAATTTGCTATGGAAGACAAATATTCCGAGGAGTTAAATGATTTCCTACTTGGGAACCAGAACTTCAGCATCAAAGACTTTACAAGGCAAAATGGGTTTTATCTGAACAGCAGCACATTGCTTGAATGTGATTTTTTTGGAAAGCCATGTTACCCACAGGTAAATATGTTTATTTTATTAAAACAATAGCACAGAGAGGAAGGGGATATATTCTTTATGCTCAACTTGAAATGTCTAGCTTTGCCACCTGCTCCCCTATGCTCTTTTACAGTCAGAAAATAGAGAACAAAAGTCCTGCTCTAAATTACCCTGAGGGTCTCACTTCTCCCACTGACTACAGAGGCAGCCTGCTGGACTCTCTCAGCTGTAAGATGGGATTTCAGTTCAAATTGCTCTCTGCCTGATGCCACTTCTGCACAGACAGCCGCCCTTGAAAGCTGTCACCCCCCCAGGCTGAATCTAACAACCTTTTCCATCAGTGGCCTACAATGAAGGACAGTTTGAACCAAGTTTTTTTTACATGACTTGATTCTGTGGTTTTGTTCTTGAGGTCAAGAATACAGAAAGCCAGGGTAACAGGAATTTTAAATCTTGAAAAGAAAATAGCCCATGTTTGGGAATTTGGGATGACAGCCAAAAAATATGATCATCCCATTTTTATGTCAATTCTGCTGTAAATGAATTCCCAACTTAGATAGAAAATATGAACAAAGTCAGGTCTATATCCTTTCAGATTAATCTAAACTTTAGATATGCTGTAGATTCTAAAATTAGGCATTAGAGACTTCTCTTAACTGGAAGACACTAGTGCTAAGAACTAAACTAAAGCAATGAGATGCATTCATATTAAATTTTGAGGTGGTTTCAGGAAAAAATGCAAATATTGTACTTTCATATGTAACATGACGTTTAGTTTTGAAACAGTCTGCACTAAGCAGCTAATGGAAAAAAATTAAAATTTATTTTTGAACATATAATTTCTGTATAATGTAACAGGTATAGAAATAACACAGGACCTCATTAAATTATTCTGAGCAGCTCATTAGTATTAATAAAGAATGTGAAATTTCTCCTTTAAACATCATTTTCTATAGAAAGGGCTGAAATACTTTTGAATATTTCATTAAACACCTCTTTTCTGATTGTAATATCGAGAACTTTGGAGAAAAAAATAAAACAAAATAAGTCAACAACAACCCCAGTAGTGCCTTTCTTGCATTGTAATTAACTAAGGAAACTACAAGTGTTCTTTCTTTCATTTCACCCTTCCCTATTTTCCTTTATTGAAGGATTTTGAACATGTCTTTACTGAATATGGAAACTGCTTTACTTTTAATCACAATGATCTTTCAGCAAGAAGAGTGAGTTTGTCTGGAAGAGGCTTACATTTGCTTTTTGATGTCCAGCAGGTACAGCTATCCTAAGGATTATAAGCAACGAATCATGTACTAACTTATAAATTCGTGGAGGGGGTTTTTTTGTTTGGTTTGGGATTTTTGTTTGATTGGGTTTACACAGGCCTCCAGAATTTCATGCACAAAATTCAAAATCAAGACTATTTCCAAGTGAGAGGGTATTTTAAAGGAAATACCAAAATAGAGCTTTAAAAAGACAGAATTAGTAGTGACTCTGTCCCCAGCTAAGGGGAAGAAGGTTGTGAGTGAGCATACACATGCACTGCTCAGCCAGAACTGAAACACGTCATCAGAAGAGTGATTTAATTTTATACAAGCAGTTCATCTTAATAAAAGGCCCAGAAGGGAAGGTCACCTGGTGTCAGTTTCTAAGTAGCACCAAATTTTAGTTAGAGCAGCTGCAGCAGCTCAATGCCAGCCAAGACCTTTGCACTGTAAATTGCTTCTGACATTAGAATTGTCTTTGACCAACAAAAAGGCAGAACACAGGGAATATCACCTTGTGCGAACAGGGAAGAAAACTAATAGATTGATAAATTATTAGACATTGGCTTTTCTTCTCTAGGAATTATGAGTCAGGAGTGAAAGGTTCTGAAGAGAATAATGGAAAGCTTAGTGAAATGTGATGGGTAGTTGCAAGTAAAAGGAACAAATCTCCAAGTTATGAGTAAATGCTAACCTATGGCTTCTTGTATTTAAAATTGGGGTTGCCAAAAAGAATAAAAAGGTTAAAAGTTTATAGCAACTGTAAGGAAAACCACAGAGGTAATGAACAAAGGAAATTCAAGTCAGTTTTCTTCTGTGCTTTCCCGTAAATTGCCAAAAATATTACTAAACAGCACAGTACCACAATAGATACAGCTAAAAGCTCAGATGGCAAGCAAAGCCAAAAGGACTTTAAACAATTCTTTTTGTATCAGGACAAATTCACTGATGAGCCTACCCTTGGTTATACTGACGCTGGAATAACTTTTGTTGTCCACTCACCCCAAGAGCTGCCGCGCTTTGATGGGTTGGGTTTGCTGACGCCAGTGGGGACGCACGCGCAGGTCGCAATCCGCCAGCTGAAGGTAAGGGCTCTGCCCAGGGACTGGGAGTGGTGTTTGTTACTGTCTCCTGTTCTCTTCTGAAGCACTAACAATGAATCACACATGTTGGCGTGCAAAATATCTATTATGCCTTAGTGAGTCCAAAAAATAACATTTCCTCCAGACGCAAGCGAAATTTGGGAGAATATCACTGGTTTTCCTAATTTCTCTATCAAATTGTCTCTATCAAAGTCAGCCTTTATTTCCTGTAACTTTACAACCTCATTGACAGATAATGATAAAAGGCATCACAGAATTTCCCCTACCAACACATTCTGCTATCATTAAGGGGTTCTCAAATTCCTAGCAGAATTCAAGAGGAGTAGAGAACCATTTTACACTAAGCTGTCTAATCAGGACCTACTTTTGCTTTGAGAGAGGGGAGATGAATTTTTAATCCCAAGAGCATGAACTGTAATTGCCTCTAATTAAATCACAATGTTACAGCTTGTATCTTCAACAGGCTTCCTGCAGCACTTTAAAATGTGGAAAAGCAATACCAGTGTTTAAAAGAGACCCAAAAAAATTGTATCTTTTGTTATTATTGTCCTACAGTCAATTATCCAAGAATACCCATGGGGAGAGTGCAAGCCTGATATAAAGCTTCAGTACCACGAGATTTATAGTACTAATGGATGTTTGCTGGAATGCAAAGCCCGGTACATTCAGGACTGGTGTGGCTGTTTGCCATTCATTCTTCCAGGTATTTCTCAGGAAAATCATTATACCCCACGCTGATCATCTTCCTGGAAGATCTCATGTGTTATTGAATAGCCAGAGCTATTGCTATATACTGAATAGACAGAGCACACATTTGAGGGAAATATCCAGTTGATATTAATTAAAATTCCAAGGAAACAAGCAAGATATCTGGTCAAGGCTAGACCTAGCATTTGGGTCATTGTCTATTCTTAGGATACAGACCAAAAAATAGAAAGAAACAATTATGCCTCAGGAGTGCAAGACAGGTCCGTAGTCTTCAACCTGACCTCCTAAGGAGCTGGAACTGAACCCATAAGAAGGCATAAATTTTCACACATAATCCAGGCAACTTACTTTGCAGGCAGGTGTTCAGTAACCACAGCAGAAGAGCTGGCTTGAAGACAGAATCTCAGGACTCCTACATGAGCCACAGAAAGAGCCTGGCAGCAGCAAGGGCTCCACAAAGCCAAAAGGGCTGTATGAAGCCTTCTAATCAGCTTCAAATGTGGAGCACCAGGTGCATGCTGTAATACTCCCCTAAAGTATCCAGGTTGCTTAATCACTCTAGAAATGTAAGGCAGTAACAGTGAGCTCTCACACCTTTTCAGCATTAATGACAATACTGTCACCTAAAGCAACCCTGGAACCCAGATCTCTGCTCTTGCACCTCTTTTCTCACAACTGGGGGGCAAGAAAGCCACTAGATCACAAGAAAGCCTGTACTGACTCATTGTATTTTTTAAATATGCTCAAGCAAGGCAGAAAGCTCTTACTAAATCAGACCCACTAATATGTAATCTCTAGTCTGTTAGTTTGGGAACCCCTGGGAAAAGAGGTTGGCAGCCTTCTGCAAACTGTCATGGAAAAGGCGTTGCCAAGACAATTAAGTCTGGGTCTCCCATGCCTGGGGTGACAGCTTTATACAACTTTATATGAGGACAATTAGATAAAGGAGAGCAATGCCTTCTGGAACTGTGTGCTAAACTGCTACACAACATTTCCATGTGATGGAAAAAAAATTTAAAATGGGGTGAAACTGAGACCAACTGAAAATTTTGCTCTAGTTCAGCATACTATTTTACATCCTAGATCTCCAAAAAACTCCTGCATGAAGCTCAGAATTTCTGCAGAAACATGTGGGATGTAATCTCATATTAAATCTACCTTACTTTGGGTTTATTTTTTTTTCATTTCCACTAGGAAAAGCAGAAATTCCTGTCTTTAGCAAGCTAACATCAAGAGTGAGCCACTCTTAAGCTTAAAGGAAGTTCAGGCTGGTACACGTAATGAAGGTGTTTGCTCCATCAGCAGCCTCCTGGCTTGGTCTGTTGTGTCTCTTCAGCCTGTCCCCTTCCCGGTGTTGGTAACTGCACTGTGCCCAGCTGAATTGATTTCTCAGTTGGATAATCATTAACCTGAAGTGATGAGCAAGTTTTGATGACATTACATTTCAGTTTAGTACAAATAGAGCTAAGGGTTAGATGGTTAATTGAGGCTCCTAAATATTTTTATTTATTTTTAGGAAATGGAACAGAATGTGACTTGCTGAAGTTTTACAAATGTGTTTATCCAGCAGTCTGTAAGTAATAACTTCATATTCATGATTTCCAAGCCAATTACAAATAGTAGACAATATCGATAATGAAAATAATCTGAAATGGAGTACATCCCAGTTCATTTAATATTCTGAAAACAGAGACCAAACAGAGCATGAAATATATGTCCATTAAAAAAAAAACACACAAAAATACTCAAAAAAGAAAAGTGTGTGTATGTATGTATATATATAAACTAATAGGAGAATTCATTTTAGCAATCAGAAATGGTTTAAAATGGAAGAATATCCAACTAATATGCTTTTAATTACCAAGCCTCTGGCTAGCATTTTCACATCTTCACAGCATCCTTCTAGATCCAATGTTATATTCTTTGTGCAAGAAGAGTGAACAGTACAGTAATAACAGGTTTGTTAACAGGCAAAACAGAAATCACTAGCTTTAAGATTTCATCTTTTTAAAAGTAAAATATAAATTTTGAAAGCACTTGAAATGCAATTCTTTTCCATAAACAATCTATGCACAGTGGGTATGAAATTTGTAAGTCACTGCAACAGACTGGAAAATACATAAAACAGTAATCTGAGAAGTTACTTTTCATGAACCTCAGAAAGCTTTGTTTTTGAATTGGTTTGGTTTCTATTGTGTAATGTGACTCCGAGTGATTAGCAGACTCAGAAGTTGGTGGGGGGGACTGTTTTGATAAGGTGTGTGCAATATTCAGGCCAGATCTTCTACTGTCAACAATTACTTGTTTCCCTGTAAGCTATTTTAAAATGGATTCCACTAAGTTCACATTCTTATATAACCATGATCCTTAAAAGCCTGTCATGAGGGAAGATGTATATTATTTTACTTAAGAGATATTCAGTGACTGAATGTCAAAGAAAGCACAGAGCAATAAGCAAAAATGACCCCAAATTCCTCTGAAGGATGGCCAGGATTCAGAGCTGGATCCCAGAAGGTTTGCAGATTGATGGTCTCTGGGATCTCATTTTAGGGGCTGACCCTCCTTTGACAATGTCAGAGAGGTAAGATAACAAAATAACAAAATTGATCTGATAACAAAATCTCAAGTAACAGCACACTTATCCAGTATCTGCAGGACCCACTAAGAGCATTATTTTAGCAGCTCTAAAGGCTGCCTCTCCAGAATAAAATCCACAACCCCAGCATCCCTGGAGAGTATTTCAAGTCATGAGCTAACAGGCTGAGATATCTCTTCCTCTGTGCTTTGCAAAAGTGAGAAGCCCACCAGCAGAATGAACAGACACTGCCTCTGCCACCCCACAAACAGGGCAAATAGAGCATCACAAGCAGGAGATCACAGTGCTCATCTCACAGTGATGACTTATGATTTAGGAAACATTTATGCCTTACAATTTTTCATCCACATTGTTTTTCTCTAGCCTTGCCAGATTTCTGTAATGATTCTTTTCTGTACTTCTTTCTGTAATTCCTTGTTAAGACGAATGGTTCCCCAGTTTCATGGCAGCCAGACCTGCAGAATTTTATGACTTCTCTTCAGTACTTGAAGAGACAAAGCTTTCCCTAAGCCTTCTTAGCTGTCTTGAGCCCAATTACGAAATGGCAGGCAGGGGTTAAGGTAAAGTGAATTATCTTACCAAGGTTTTTACAGTTATCAGATGATAGCCAACTGCAGTTGGAGCTGCTCTGGAAGCTGTTTCTGTGCACTGAAATGAGCTGGGCAGGCACTAAGGCATCAATATCAAGGATATATATCTAAGTATTTAATTAAAAAGCTAGCACAGAACATGGAAAGTTTTCTGTTGTCTTTTTATTTAACTGTGGGAGAGAAATAGTAAGCACATAAAGCCCCAATGAAGGCAGAAACACTTAGAGGTGCTGTATTTCTTTGGAAAAAGTGAGAAAAATATCTCAACCCTTGTTTTTGTGCACCAGTTTCCCAAATGAAAGTTGCAAACACTTATTTAATCCTTCAATACTGGTAAGTATCCACTTTTCTTGGGATAATTAATCTACGCATTTATGAAAGACAATTAAAAGTAATTTAGTAAGTAATTTTTTTAAATTTTTAAACTGTGTGTTTTCTAAGAAATATTGTATAAAATTATTTATTCTGAAATTTCAGATAATATAGAGATAAAAGGATTATGTACAGTAGGAACACACAATTCCACTTGCCCTGCCCCATGTGAAGAAACAGATTATCCTACCACTGTCACCTATTCAAACTTTGGAGGAGAAAAAGCCATAAAATATTTTTCTACAAAACTGAAGAAGAGCCCAGAATACATCAGGTAATCTTGCTTAACACCTTGTCTAACAAAGAAATTATCAATTCCTTTTAACCATGGTAGCAGAGTGTATGATGAAAATATGACCTTAAAAAGATATTCTTATGTGTGGTATTAATAACATTGCCTGTGAGATAACATAATCTCTTGGACAAACTGGTTAAGATTTATACTAATTCATGTCTATATTGATGTATGTATGTATTATACACATACATATATATGTATGTATATAATATACTAAGATACACCTAAGACTGTATAAAAAAGAATAGAAAATGCAATTACAATCTAATATTCTCAATTACCTTCTCTTTCACTAATCTCTTATGACAAAGTTTTTTTATCACTGTTTCAATTAGGAATAAAAAAGTAGGGTTATTAAACATATTCACAATGGATTCATTAGAGAAAACCAATCTTCACACTTCCACAAATTAAGGCAATGAAGAAACATAAATAGATGCTGCATAAAGTTTTTCTCCTTTTAGCCTATTCCCAAAGGAAGTTTTGTAAATACTGAAGACCTGGGTTTTATTGTAGCAGCAAAGCTAAAAATTTAATAACATTTTCTATTGCTAGTAGAATTCCTTAACACTATTTATATTATGGAAGTTATTTAGAAAATCTTTGGTACCACATCAATTCTCACAAGGTAGCAGAAGAGAGAAACAGGTTGGTTGTGTGTGATTGAAAGCACTACTCAGAAAAAGGAGTTGGAAAATTTAATCCAGTTTCATACACTGAGTTGCCTCTTTCTCATAGCCAGAGATGTCAGCAGTGCAAATAAGTATTAAGGCAGGTGCTACATGAACTCACGGTATATACAATATCAAAGTATGCTTATAAAAAACTGTAGAACATTTGATTCCTGAAATATCTATGAGTTTCATTCTCTCAGTGACTTTGGTTTTCTCACTTTTGAAGCCATCAGTCTGCAAATGCTGACTGATATGCTGGCATATGTTTATACATGCACAGGAACTATACAAATGATAAAATGGTTGGGTTGGATGGGACCTTTAATGGTCAACTAATCCAATTCCTCTGCAATGAGCAGGGACATCATCATCTACATCAGGTTGCTCAGAGCCCAGTCCAACCTGACCTTGAATGTTTCCAGGCATGGGCTAGTCACCACCTCTCAGGGCAACCCGTTCCAGTGTTTCACCATGCTTGTTGCAAAAGATGCCTCCCTTACACCTAGTCTGAATCTACCCTTAGTTTACAACCATTACCTCTTGTCCTATATCTACAGGCCCTATTAAAAGTCTGTTCCAAATGAACATTATGAAAATGAAACCTGTTATATACAAACAATAACAATCCCTTCAGGACATTTTATCTTTGTTGATTACTTTATTGTCTGCAAACATTATGCGCAACTCAGTAATTATTCAATTACATAAGGGAACATACAAGAAATTCCCCTGTAACCAGGCCTTAACCAATAGGAATCCTGCCAACACATTAATGAGTACACATTTCAAACTATAAAACATAGAAATGTAATTATTTCTGAAGATGTTATGAGGAAAAAGTTAAATATTTATTGATAATTCTGCTAGCAAATCCATTACAAGGGCAGGAGCCTTACTAACAGAATCTAGGAGAAAAGGATTATTTTTACACATTAGCGCTACCTGAATTTTAGAATTTTCACCCAAAGAGATAGAAGTGATGATTTTGTATAGAAAATACTTTATTTTCATTAATATTGTTAATGAGCTCACTGTCACTGCCAAAGCAAAAACCTGTAGCTGTTAACACTTCTGAAGGATCACAGGAGGGTTTGGATTGGAAGGGACCTTAATGATCATCCAACCCGTGTGGACAGGGATACCACCCTCTACATCAGGTTGCTCAAAGCCCATCCAACACGGCCTCGATCACTGCCAGGGATGGGGTATCCACAACTTCTCTGGGCAACCTGTTCCAGTGCCTCATCACCCTCACAGTAAAGACTTTCTTCCCAATATCTAATCTAAACCTACTCTGTTTTGGCTTAAAGCCATTCCCCTTGTCCTATCCCTACATATCTTTGTAAGAAGTCCCATTCTGTGGTTTTTGTGAGTCTCCTTTAGGTACTGGCAGGGTGCTGTGATTTCCCTCCAGATGATTCTCTTTTCCAGGCTGAGCAGCCACAAGTCTCTCAGCCTGTCCTCATAGGTGAGGTGCTCCAGCCCTCTGATCATCCTCATGGCCTCCTCTGGACTCTCTCTACATCCTTTTTATGATGGGAGCCCCAGAACTGGACAAAACACTCCATTCTGCCCCTCTACTTCACTCTTCCCTCAGTGTTCTGGTCACTCTTCCTTCGATGCAGTCCGGGCTGACTCCAAGGGCTCCAAGTGCACATTGCTGGTTTGTGTTGAGCTTCTCCTCAACAAACAGCCCAAGTCCCTCCACTTGGGGCTGCTCTCATTTTATTCTCTGTTCTACGCCACTTGTGCTTGTGCTTGCCCTGATCCAGGTTCAGTGCTTAGCACCTGGCCTTGCTGAACTGTGTGAAGTTTGCACAGGCTCACCTCTCAAACCTGTCCAGGTCCCCGCTCCTGGGATGGCAACCCTTCCCTCCAGCATGTCAGTCACACCACACAGCTCCGTGTCATCGACAAACTTGCCAAAGAAGCCCTCAGTGCCACTGTCCGTATCACTAAAAAGATGTTCAACAGCACTGGTCAAAATATTCTACTTGGACATTGAGCCATTGACATTATGTGCGCAGTCAGTTTTTGTGTCAGTTTTCTTCCAAACCCATTATTTTTATATTCCATTTAAGACTTAGGCAGAGTCTTTCTGTAGACAAGATACCATAAAGAGGAGTTCTTCACTCCTCTTTATTACCTGAGTTATTACACAGGTCTTGCTCAAACTGAGATTTACCTACTCTTCCACTTTTGCAGCAGGCAAGAATATAATTAGATAAGTGAAGCTACTTGCAGAGGGTAGAACTGAACATCCAAGTTTAGGACGAGCACTGCTCTGCACAAACATCCCAATTGAAATAAGCACAATTAAATATGCACTTGCATGTAATTAAGAGTGATAGGCTACACTTTACTTGACATGTCCATTCAAGTTTCTCTCAGTGATCCTTAAAAATAATGAGTCTATTGCACAGTACAGATCTAGAGCTACCTTTTCAACACAATGGGAAGATCTACTCCTGCTAAACTGCTGTTGTTATTTGGATTTAGGGGTTTCTCCTTCTCTCATGTAACTGATTTTGATAAAACTCATCTAACTTCTCATTAAAGACACCATCCCTCTCCCTGAACTCAGACCATGCTGACAGATGTTGGTAAAAATGAGCAGCACTCCTGACTGTCTCAAGTAAACTCTGTATTTGTCATTAGGCAAAACCTTGTGCGTATTGAGATTAAATATCATGATCTGAGCTACAAAATAACACAGCAGCAGAAGGCTTTGACTATCTCTGAGTTGCTTGGTAAGTGAATGCTTAATATTTATTATTGATTAATAATTAATCTAAAAATAATATTTTTTTTAAAAAAACAGACAACAAACTCCCCTCATTTTTAAAATTCTCCCACTTCATGAATAAAAAACTACTTCTGAACAAGAAGCACAATTTTTATATGTAATAGTAATAATCATGTCTGTCTTGTGGTAATTTTTGATACAGTCTCCCATCATTCCACTAAAGAAGCCGTGGTATGGACAGCAGATGAGAGTAAGAGTTAAGTTTGGCACTAGTTTATGGTTCTGTTACACACAGGACTGTAAGAACAGTGACATTTGGGGATTTGGAGAGGAGAGGAAGAACATGGGAATGAGAAGCAAGGGAACAGCTAAAAGGGCATGGAAGAAGTAAATATTTTAAGTATCCATTTCACAGTAGGATGTCTTGTGTTGTACTTGCTTTATTTAGAATTTTCAAAAACACATTAGTCCTCTTCAGTAAACTTTCTTAAGAATATTAATTCTGTTTTCCTAAAGTGATGGATTATGTATATTGAATTTATGCAGCACTTGAGCCTGGCAGGGTTTTGTTTGCTTGCTAGACTAAACCAGATGCTTTGTATGACACATGTTTATTTCCTTCTATTACAGCTGATGTAGGTGGCCAGCTTGGATTGTTTTGTGGTGCCAGTATGATTACAATCATAGAACTGCTAGAGTATGTTTTTACTAACTTCTGTTGGATGTGCATCTTTCTTCTTTTGAAAGCTCCTGAAATGCCTCAATGGAACAATCCATCCCAGAACCAACCAACACAAAAGGGAAAAAAGAGGAGAATACAAGAATGTTAATGGCTTGTGGAAGTCTGGAACTAATTGGTTTTGCAAATTCCCTTTCTTTTTAAGATACAAAGGAGACTGTAATATTTTACACTGCTCTCCTTATTCTCCCTATTATTCCCTAAAATGATTTAACTGTGCTAAATAACTTTAAAGAGCGCATTTCACAAAGTCTCACTTTCCTTCTCATATAAAGAAAAATGTAATCTTTAACTTTGATTTAACAAATTAGGGGTTTTTTTAAAATATCATGGCAAGTGATGCTGACATATGATACAATTTAGCATTCGTAACCCAGATTTTATCTTCTGTGTTCTGAGTGATGAGAAGTAATACACATGCCAATTTATCTCACAGAAATTTCTTGACTACCATAAACATGGAGCATTGCTAATTCTAAAATGCTTGTTCCTTATTAGCAACTCTTCTAGTATGTTATCATTGTAACATATTCCATTGAAGAATATGGTAACTTCACCTAGAACAATTAGGAATGTGCCTAATAGCAATAAAATTTACAATACTACCTGTGTGAAACACATCAAAAAATCTCATCAGTCTGCCAGCTATTATGGAGAACAACAGGGCATCCAAGTGGATGGCAAGTGGGCAAACACAGGTCAAGTTCAGTGTTTAATGTCATGAAAGATGATAATAAAGGCTTCATCTAAGTCTCACTAAATATGAGTCAGTGTAAGAATTTTGTGGCTTTGGTACTGATTCAGGCTTCCTGAACATTTATTTCAGTGTTCAGAAAAGCTTCCATGATTTCCTGCATCCATTTGGGCTTATAGAACAGTGGTGGTTTAGTCTTCTACTTTTTTAAGACTGCAGTGATTAAAAAAAATAATAAGTGTATTTACTGAAGAGCCAAGTCCTTAAGGTCAGATATAAAGCAATGAAAATGCTACCACTTGGCCATCATTGGCAACAGCTTCCCTTCACCATAAGCCCTAGGATTTGCAATTCAGGAAACACAGGAAATGTTTTTGCTACCTAGAAAGAGTTGCCTTGATTTTTGTCCTCTAACCTTTTTTCTCAATTCTTATTTATTGGTCACTCCACTTCTGCTGGGACTTTCCCCCCTCACTGTTACCAAGCACAGGCACATTTGGCTCAGCACTGCTATAAAAATTATTCTAACCCCACTGTTCAAGGTGTGCATTAGCCAACCCAGAGGAAGAATGGAAAGAACAGAGCAAACATATTGCAATATTTCTCCAAAGACTTCCCCCAGCCTCAAACAGTTTCTAACTGTGGAATTCTCGAGCCAAAAGAAATTATAGATTTGGAAGTAGAAACCAGGTATTATGTGACTTATGGAAAAAAAGAAAAGCAGGGTAAAGTTTAAACATAGTAATCAAGCACACCTTGTATTTCAGAGATCAAAGTGTTTTGTAGCTATCAATCACAATGATTTGTTTTGTTTGCTTCTATTAATAAGAGCTGAATAAAATAACATTAGTATTGTAAGGGCTAAAGAAAACAAAACTGGTATTGTTTCTGTCCAAAGGTTCACGAGAAATGAGGCACAGAACATGCTAAAAAATCAGCCAAAAAAGCACCACTTCCCAGAAAGGGAACGTACTGAAATCTTTGCTTTGTTTAACAAGACTAAAATGACTTTTGCTTACACCACTGACTTTGGACAAGGACAGCTGAAATCACAGCTTGGTTACAGATTCTTTTAACACACGTGGCAGAAGGAGTTCTGAAGAAAGCACAAAGACTTGTTTTGCCCAAGGTCAAGTGACAGACTTGGATGGGGTTTTTTTTCAGCAATGGTTTGTGATAAGATTATATAAAGCAATTGATTCCCCAGCACAGCTAAATTTAGGAAGTGTGCTGTGCAGCAGAGCAGAAGTAAGGGTGCTTTTGTATTTTGATGTATGACTACTCCTCTATTATGGCAATAGGATTTTAAAAAGTGTTAAAGAAAATGTCTGGCTTTACTGACTGGGTGACAATGTCATATCTGTAATGAAAGCAGAAGCAGGGTATTTTAACAGTTTGATCAGATCATCTCCTACTTTAGCATGACTTTGTCGCTTATTTATTCAGTTTTCCTTTTCACAAGTACACATCCATGCTCCAAGAAAACATACTGGCAAGCTTTTCCCATAGCAATTGATTCCAAAATGGTAGTCTTAACAATGAAATTAGTTTATATGATTGGAAAAGCTCCCTCAAGCTTCTCTCAAGTCTTTTTCTAATGTGCAATATAGAATTTTGTAAAAAAAATTAAAAATATATTTTAAAATGCATTCTGTAGAAGCCATTAAACTTTAATGCTGTAGAGAATCTTAGACTATTGCATACATTTTCTGAAGAACCAAGGAAAGAAATTTAGTTACGTGGATAATGACCTGTGTTTGGGAGCTCTGGATTTTATAGAGTGGTGTCACATTCATTTATGAATTTTGTAAGTATTTTTCATAGAGTGTTGTTTATACATAGAGTATTATTTATACATAGTATTCATTTTCAACTGAGTCCCTGGTATGAGGAAGACATACTTAATACTATCAGAGAACTTTCCATGAGAGAATGGGGTGGGGGAAAGTTGGGGATAGCTAAAGATATGAATCACACCTTTTGACAAGTTTTTTTTTTAGCTCATTTCCCTTCTTCTAACTGTCTCACAATACAACTATTGCAATGTACATGGCAGCCATCTCTAAAGGAGTGCCAGAAAGTAAGGAATTATTCAAGAAATAATTTCATTTTTCCCAGAGTTCAGGAAACAGGTCTGGCACTTGCTTATTTGGCACAGCAAAATGTAGAATGTACAGAACAGCCTATACAGAAGGATTTGGAGCAGACTCTCATGGCACAGATGAATTCACTGCAACATTTCACCAGTAGATGCCCCACTTACCTTAGGCTGCTGTTCACAAGGCTCCTCTTGCACAGTTGACTTCTCAGCACTTCTTAGAGAATTTCTCAGAGTAGCTGAAGTCAGATTGTTTCCCTCTGGTTAATGATGTATCAGCTGGGGAAATATTTCAAAGGAGCTCCTGACAAACCTGCCATTATTAGACCTGCCATTATTAAAGAGACATCATCTTTGTAGCACTATGTTTAGATGGATTTCTGAGGAAAACAAACAAAAAAAAGTACACAGCCATCCCCACTCTGCATCAAAATAACCTACCAAAGCATTTCTTAAGGAGCTTAAACATGCCAGCTGATCTAAAGTTGCTTAAGAAAGTGTTGGTTAAGGTAAAATAATTATCCTCACCAACTACTTTAAACTGAAACTATGGGGGGGGGGGGGGGGGCAGGGGGGGGGGAGGAGGATTATTTCCCTATATAATCACTCAAGTTTGAAGGCAGTTAGCTGTGCCTACACCCTAGCCCAAATACAAGTGTTTGCACTGCGTGTGAATCTGGTGCTGGCAAAACTTCAGAAAAGAACTCTTCCTCACCTGAGTAGTACCTCATGGCAGCATGAAAGCCAAGTTTCTTACAAATAAACATTGCCTCACAGTTGTTCAATATTTTGGAAATCCAAATATGATCATGCAATTCTAAAACCTCCCAGACCAACATAAACCATATTGTTTCACTCACACTGTCTCTTAAAGTATGAAGCGTTTCCAGAACTTCATACTTTTGTACACAGAAGTGAGTATCCCTTATTAGGCTATAAACATTAGTACATCTTGTCATACTAACTGTATCCAGAGTTAAACACATTTTTGTGTTGGCAGTCAGTGTGCTCAATAAACTCAGGATACAGGAAATATTTCCAATTTCGTACCATATTAATTACTTGTGCAATGTTGAAACATGACAGGGTTATAAATGATAAATTCTGTATGGTGAGGATACTGCTGCAGATCCAGGGTTAGCGTCACATCTTTTTCATGTTGCTTATGGCCATCCTGCACTGTTAACCCTCTTGCACTCTGTCCCTTCATCCAGCAGGAGATGCTCACCTCTGTTTCCTCACTGAAAGCAGTCACCACAAGAAGGAAAGCTTCTTTAGAACACAAAAACTTCCAAATGGCTCTTCCCACTACACACACAATTGATGTTTAAACAGTGAACACCCACGCATCTCTTGTCTCAGGACAGAAATGCCCAAGATGGTGGGGTTTTGCGGTTTTTGGTTTGAGTATTTTTTAGCATCTTTTGGGATCAGGACTACTTCCACAAAACTAGGAGAAAGAGGTTCACACATGTAGCCATTCTTTCTTGTGTGAAATTCTAGAACACTTCTATCTCCAGAGAAGAATGTCATTTTGCAACAGGAAGCCTGCTTAAATGCATATCTAGTTTTGCCTTGCTAATTCTTGGGGGTTACTTTCAAAGAAATAACCCTGAGCTTTAGAAAATTTAGTACCACTTCCAGTACACTTAAAGGTCCTTAACGGAAAGGCTGATAGCCCATATTTGTTAGTATTTCTGCCTATTTTGTGACACTCAAAGCCACTCTCCCCTTAGCCAGTCATTTTGAGTTAAAGAGATGAACACTAAATAAACACAGGTTGTGTCCCTTGTGGATGTCAAATCTCAGCACAGGATTGAGTTCCCTTATCTCATTCTACCTATTTAAGAACTTGGCAAACAGGTGTGCAAGGCAGGATTGATGATTAGACACTTGACCATTCCTGCTACACCCCTGACACACTGTGTATCAGCTGAAGATAAGAAATAGGAACAGTTACAACAAGGAATGCTCTCATGCACAAGCTGTAAAAAACGTGGGTTTGTCAGGGCTGCACACACACCACAGAACATGCAAAAACAGTTCATTAAAAGTGAAAATTTTCTTCTGGTGTTTTTCAACTGAACCCATATGCCTCCCACAACAATGACTCATTTCTTATGTAGTTTCCGTAACTGATACTCCCAATAACTTTAGCTAAGAATTTTAATATAACCCTTCTGCCAGGGGTAACCAACAGGTCTTTGTGTACAGGAACTACAAAGAGAACATCAGCACTTAGAAAGCCTACTGTGAATCCTCCCTAATAGGACTAGCCCAGAAATATTTTCCTGTTGGTCACCTGGCCTGCTACATGTTTAATCCTGAATTGCACCTAAACGTTTCTAGCCCCATTGCGTAGGATTCATATTACATGCTACACACTTTGATCCAGAGTTCAGCAGAAATTTTCCAACCTTAAAATGCCAACAACTTCAGACCATGCCCACGTAAATATACTGTTCACTTATAGATTGTGCATGCTCTAGTCTGGAAGTGCTGCATCACATCTTCATCTTCTCCTGCAATCTGAATAAATGGAATTTTCTGAGGCTGTTTTACTCCAAACATCTAAGCAATGTATGAATAAAAATGGCAAACAATCTCCTACATGAAACAAACCAGGTATGAGAAAAAAAGCCCTGTTTAACTGGAGAAACATCACAAAAGTCTGTTTTAAAACTAATTATAAGAAGCTGCTTACTGTTTAAACATGGAAGTCAAGCAAACAGTAACAAGTAGGAGGAAAAATTTTTTTGAAGGCCATACTGTTACTAAGAGACCTACATAATTCTAAAAAAAAAATACCTGAGAGAAGTGAAGTCATAGAGTGCATTACAGCACCAGATTTTAGAGAATTAATTTGTCCTCAAGCGTAAGTTGCTCCTTGTTCTTTTTTCCCCAGT